TTTGAAAAGACGAGGCTCATGCAGAATTCATCAGTTTTAAAGTCTGCATTATATTTGCTACATCCATTATGGGACCAGAGAGAGGGAATTACAGTAATGAGACGACCCGGCAGAACACTTCCAATGGGAATTAACATAATAATCAAATTAAACTTCTCAGGAGCGATCTCTGCAGGCTGAACTGAATACAATGCATATATCATATTTCTATCAAAATGTGTCGATACATTTAGTCCAAATAGTTATAAATATAATAAGAAAGAGCTGGAAATGAGCAATGGGTGATACTGACAATCTTAAAGGAACCTTGCATAATCGTATTGATAAAGGGTAAGCACAGTACAATTAATACAATATTAGTTGTTTTTTTCAAAACTACAATTCGTTTTTGGGATTAATTTTGTTTTTTAAGAATACAACATATATGTACTAACTTGGATTTTTGTACAGATGGAAAACCAACAATATGTAATGTCATTTCAACAGGATTCCCACATTTAATGACCAAAACAAATCATTATCGGCTTACAAATTGTAGAGTTGAAGTAAAAAGTAGCATTAACTGAAAAAACTCAGATAAAAGTATCTAAAAATTGTACGTCAGTAAATGTACTTCATGACTATATCCACCACTGAATAATTAATTGATACCGTTTATAAAGTATTACAGTCCAATGAAAACAAGATTAGAATACAAAATCTACTAAGCGGGATTTTTTACAGATGAAAAAACTCGATTGCAACTCAATTTCGACTGTAAATTAAAAAACAATTCCTAAAATGATTTAGTTTTTTATGAAGTGACATAAACTCGCATCTAATAAAGCTATCGTTATCTAGTATTTGGCAATTTAAAAATATCATTATGTTATTTATAACTGCCCTTGTATGGCACTTTTCTATATCCACAGAAAAAGCATTTAACCGAGCTGCTGTCTATTTGTCGACTTGAGTTCAGTGTTTTGCCCGAGGCCACTTCGACATAAGGAGTCAGGGTACGATTCACCATCCTCACTACAAAATAAGTACCATTTACTGTTCATTGTATTGAGAACGGTCAATTAAGCTAGCCCAGACGAGCTAGAAAAGACAACATTTGAACAATAAGGGGGACTATATTTGATATATACCACGAAAAGACGAGACAACAATCAATTAATCCTACCACCAAATATTGTCTGAGTGCCTGAAGTCTGAGCACTGTAATCAATTCAGCTTGAAATACTCACTACAACACCAAATGTATATAAATCTACCTCTGACAACAGTCCGAGACAAATGCTCTACTTACACCTGTTTGAGTAATGTTGGTTAAAAATAAAGAGCCCAGCTGTTCTGGGGAATTTGCAGAAAACCTTGGGGAAAAAAATTATACTCTGTTACGATCAGTTTTTTTCATCTTCAATGGGAATTGAAGACTTTTCTAGAATCAATTGTAATTTGTTGCTAGAAAATGGGAAGTAAGTGTGTGTGTGTGTGTGTGTGTGTGTGTGTGTGTGTGTGTGTGTGTGTGTTCGTTCAGGTTCAAGGTTCTTTATCAAACATAGCTACGGAGTAATTACGTCGTTGAAAATCTTAGGTCACAGGCTTCTCCAACAATGCAACACAATAATACAGATAGCAGACAATATTAACCAATGTTAAAATATACTATATTAAAAGTAATACAAAAAAAGCCCATCTCACGCTCCATTGTTCTCGAGTGAGGGAACAATGGAGCGTGAGATGGGCCGGAGAATCGGAGCGGTACTGCAGTCGCTTTACCGCACCGTTGTGACGAATTGTGACACATCGAACTGGACACTTCAAACCACGTCTATATGGTGGATTCAAACATGGCGGGACACTGCTTTAATTTGAATTAAAAAAAATACACTATATAATTTCTTGACTATAGTTTAAAGAGGCCCTATCACGTCTCCATTGGACTCCTTTGTTTACTTCCAGAACATAACAACATCACTATGTAACACACTATTGGCTAGTGCTCAACACATTGTACGTGATAGGCTAAGGGGCGGGACCTCTCTAAGCGGTTGACCAATCACAACAGAGCCGGCATACTTCAAAGGTAGGCAGTTAAAACAACTAAAGAGCTAATAGAATGGCCATTGGTTAGGTAGAAGTAAACACCACATTTGTCAACAAAAAAAAAGCATATGATTTTCACACAACAAAAAAGGTTTGATATAATCAGAGATATTTGTAATATTCACAAAATACTTAAAAACCCAAGCGTGTACACAAGGGCTAAACCTGTTTTCTAGAATCAATAATTGGGCTGAAACAGACACACAGATGGAAAGCGTTGCGAGACAGTCTAACACCGTTGGTTTTGGGTCATTTTATGGAATCTTCTGACAAAAAGAAAAAACAGGCAAATCCTTAAATACTATATATCTTGCTATTATAATGTCCAAGTTACTGAACCTCACATTATGATGTCTACATGAGTCTTCTGCTCTAACAGCTCTAACCTGCACACTGTGGGCTGAACAAGCAGATTCAACAACTTGGTACCTGCAGATTCTCTACTCTAGTTGCTGCAGGTATTGTAGGTAGTTTCTGGCACTAAGGTAGTGTTTCTACACACTCATTTCATCGCCTGCAGCAGGTTGAACTCTGTGACGGATGCATCGTGCTCTCTGAGACGACTTGAGGGGGGGAAGTGAAGGAAAGAGCAGCAAAAGCCTCCGTCGTCTCAGCTTGATCTTCTCTTCTGTCGCAGGGAACTGTCAGGATCCATCTCAGCACATCACACACACTTTGCTTCGCCCACACACACACACACATCTGTGTTGACGCTCAAAAACAACTGTGCACCCACACAGGAACACAAAGTGCAAACACACATTCAGATGCAAACACACATTCATACCAAGCAGTCTGAGGGAGATTTGTCAGCGGAGGATACCTCATGTATTCTTTATGACTGTGACTGTGTGTGTGTGTGTGTGTGTGTGTGTGTATCTACTTTAAGCTCTGTCTATCCACACCTGGCATATATCTCTATCTAATCTATGATTTATCACCACTCTGACATACCATCGGCTCAGGGATTTAAAAATACATTGCTTGTCATCTGGATCCCATTTTTGGACAGTTTGAGTTATCCCACTGCTACTGTCCTTATGCCTTTATTTGATAGTGATGGTGAGGAGAGACGGGTACTGTGGGGTACTGTGGGTAAAGAGAGTGGGTGGGCTGACACTGGGACAGCTGGGAATCGACACAGGACTCGCTGCTCAGAGTATTTGTGCCCTAACCACCCCTACTGTTCTATAACTCAATTACAGTCCTCCACTCAACAGCCCTCCAGCTTCACTCTCCCCTTGTTAAACTTATTCAGTCATACCTGCATCTGCTTTGGTTTTTAAAGGCGGGCTATTATAATTGTTGGGGTGTTCCCTTTCCTGTAGTGTGTTATATAGGTTTTAGTGCATGTAAATGGTCTGCAAAGGCTAACATCCCTGTGTTCCCTGACATCAGTATAGAATACAAAGCCTTTATCGTCATTGTACAAAAATATACAACAAGATTTGGAGTTACCCTGTCACAAGTGCACAGTAAACGACAACAGACAAACAATAATAAAAACACGGCAGTAGCACAGACGACCGTTAACCAAATACAGGGGGGAATAATAGTTAAGAACAACGGCGTTAAAAGCTATAAAGTGCATATGAGTTAAGTAATTAACAGAGTATTAATTAAGTATGTTATACTTTCGTCTCTATTGGCTAGCTCTCCAACACATTGTACGTGATAGGCTAAGGGGCGGGACCTCTCTAAGCGGTTGACCAATTACAACAGAGCCGGCATATTTCAAAGGTGGGCAGTTAAAAAAACTAAAGAGCTAATAGAATGGCCATTGGTTAAGTTGAAGAAATCACCACATTTGTGAACAACAAAATGCATGATTTTCACACAACAAAAAAGGTTTGATATAAACAGGCCAGCTAACCAATCAGAGCTTGTTTGAGACAGAGGGTGAACATAACCGTACGTTGCAGCAGTGTCAATATGGATGTATTTTTGGATGCATGTCATTCAATTGTTTGAGACATTTCATTAGGACATGCTGGCTGTCATTTCTACTAGCGAGCCCCGAGGGCCTTTGAGCCCAACGGCTGTTTATTTCAGACAATGGTAATATCCACCTGCACTGACAGGAATAACTAGGATACAGGATCAAGATAGAGCAGCTTTCAGGAGACTGGTAGCATTCAGAAGGACGCTCATGAATATTTATGAACGGCTGAGAAAGTATATCTCTTATTTACTGAAGCAAACAGACGGAGTGTGTCTGATTGGGGCCTAACTCACTGCAAAGGTTAATGAAACTGAAGACAGGCAGGCACGCACACACACACACACACACACACACACACACACACACACACACACACACACACACACACACACACACACACACACACACACACACACACACACACACACACACACACACACACACACACACACACACACACACACACACACACACACACACACACACACACAGTGTACTTATGATTTAGCTTTCTCCCGTGAATGCCAGAGGAGGCAGAGAATGACTAAATGATTATGTTAAATGTTGCTGCCAACTGGAAGATAAATATGAGGCCAAATGATCGTTTGCAGTGCCCCGTAACACTGACTTTGGACCCCCCTGAAAATGAAAAGTTTATGATGAAACGATTACTTGGCTGACAGAATAGGCGGAACTAACGTTATTTGTCATTCTAGTCGGACCCATTAGAGCGTAAAAACTGTAACTATAAGTATCTGAAATATATATGTGTACCAATAACTGTATTGCATTGTTTTCTTATGCGCAATTACTTCATACTGTCTTTGTCTTTTTCGTCCTGCATTTATTGTATTTTTTGGATGAAAATGGTGACCATGCATCCTAAAAACACAGTAAAATAAAGTAGATGCCTTTTAGATATTTACATAGTTAAACACTACAGCAACAGGGAGTCTTGTTTTCTTACCTGTACAGTAAAAGGTGAGGAAGAAGAGCAGCAGGCCGGTGACCAGGTTCCCGAGGAAGGTGACCAGTCCGCAGGTGATGCCTTCAGGGACCGGGTACACAGTCTCGATTAAGAGCTCGAAGAATATTGGCACGCTGCTGTTAATGAAAATGCCCACCAGGATGCAGGAAGTGTACAGGATGGCTGTGAAAGGATATAGAAAAAAATAGTTAAACAACAATAAGTCACAGTTTAATTAGGAGCTGTGATGGAATATGGGAATCAAATCCCATGGGAGCAACTCTTTTTAAAAGGGATGGCACACCCATCAGGTTTATGCAACAGCAGAGGTGATTTACGGCTTCCTGCTGAACCATTTGTTCTCAGCAGCGCAGATTTATGAATAACCCTCAACCTGAAACAACATTTCATTTAGAATCCCTTAAGGTGGCACAAAAACTAAATATTGTAGGTGTACGGATGGAAAAAAGCCAGCTGGCAAACAAAACAACATCCTTCCCGAACGCCACCCTCACCTTTCACCATGCGCTTCAGTTTATAGTGGTTATCAGTAATGCATATACAGTTGTAGAAAGTAAGTACATTTACTCACTGTACTTAAGAACACTTTTGAGGTATTTAAGCCTTACTTGAGTATTTCCATTGTATGCTTTTTATACTTCTACTACATAAAAATGTAAAGGAAAATATTCTACTTTTTAGTCTTTACATCAGGGGGGTCAAACTCAAACACACAGTGGGCCAAAATAAAAAAATGGGTACTAGTGGAGGGACTGGTTCAATGTTTATTGCAGAACTTATTGAAATGAACTTATTGCACATATTAAACCTGGAACTAACAAAGTTTAAATTATTGCCTATAAAAACAACATTAAATAATCAGTTGCTTTCATTTCTTATGGCTCTATCTGCAGCTTTTCCAGAGTCATTTCTTATGATTACATTTTCCCACAGGCCAACAACAGCTTCAAGAAAACTATTCCCCTCAAAGAGAAAACCAAACATGCCCTGTTGATCTGTGTTTTGTGTTGCTCTGTTGTAGAAGCCTGTGACACAAGATTTTCATCGACATAACTACACTGTAGCTATGTTCGTTTAACAAATAAAGAACCTTGAACCTTGTGATGCTAGTTCAAGCCAGATACTTGGGGTGCGTCTCACTTCGGTTAAATGGATTTCTGCGTTGTTTCCCTGCGTCTAGTCCCTCCCACTAGGGAAGCATGGAGGGACGCAAGGAAACCACGAGAAGCAGGGAAATGAGTTTTAAGAGCAATGGGACGTCCTTTCCTCCGGAGCGTCACGTGAAGCGACGTCCGTTTTGTGATGACGCCACACAGCTGTTCGTCTGACAGCAGCTCTGTCCCCGTTGTTTCCACACACCCCCCCGCATCTGTTAGCACACATTTACTGACACAAACATTTGTATCATCTGTTGTAGACCCAAATACATTAAATAAAATAAGAACTCATTCTCAAAAAAGATAAACGCCATTCTTAAAATGTAAAACGAAAAAAGCGATCATGAAAATGTTTCCAATAAATGAATAAAATGATTTTTGACCACTTTGTTGTTCAGATATATCACATATTTGTAACTAAATGAAACATGAATTGAAACAAAACACGGTATAAACTGAGGAGTGACTCCCGTGAGGTTAATGTATTTTCTTCACTCTGCTCTCATGTCAAGAAGCATCAGATCAGTGCATGCACTGCATCGTCCAATCAGTGAGCGATACACAGTAAGGGGGCGGGGCGAGTGTATGAGGATTTCATCTGAGGATGGTCTGGTGGTTCCTCGATCCTCGATCCTCGGGCACAAATAAGGCCACTGGGACGCTACTCAAGATGGCGCAGACCAATCAACTTCCGGTGAGACCGAGACCGAGGAGCGAGGAAATGAAAAATAAGAGAAGTGAAACGCACCCTTGGCGTCTCATCTTGGGTGCAAGGTCATCAATGTTTGGGCTCAGGCTCTGAGCTGAGGAGACCCTCAGGATGGAGTGAAGGTGTGCGTGCAATATACCGGCGGGGCCAGATCTAATAGGAATTAAAGATTATCCTGCGGGCCGAAATTAAATCCACCAAGGGCCTGATTTGGCCCCCGGGCCTCGAGTTTGACACGTGTGGCTTACATCATAAGTTACTTCAGGTTTCTAATATTAAATATATATATATCAGCTTAGAAATGATGATGTTTTATTATGGATTCAGAATACATGGCAGTATAAAACCAGCTGCAAAATTAAAGTGATGAAGAGTAGTAGTATAGTAAACATTCATTAGGGAATGGGCCCTTCTGCTCAGCAAATATTTAGAGTTGTGGTACTTAAAGTGTATTTTGATGACATTTCTCAGCAGTAGTAAGTCAAAAAGCAATTGCAGGACAGAGTCACAGAGTATTTTCTACACCGTGTTATTACTACTTTTCTTAAGAACAAGATCTGAGTTCGTACCAAGAAAGCATCAACGTTTAAAACCAAGCACTTCTTAAAACACACTACATTACGAGAGACTTTTTTAATTTAACTATAATGTCACTTTTGGTGATATATTGCTCTTTTTAGGTCACAGAATTAAGATGCAACTCATGTCATGGATTGTACACTATATTAAAAAAGTAATGTCTTAATCTTTTGCCAACATTTGTATACATCCCATATATAAGCACGGTACTGTCCGCCCGCTTGTTTAACTTGTTCTTTAACAAATCAACCTCCATTTTGATTCTCGACAAAATACATAAGTCAAGCGCTTTTAATGACCAAGTCTCGAGTCAAAAGCTTTGATATGTCCACCTCACATTGACCCCCCCACAGGGACCTGAGGGAACATATTCTAATGTTACTACACTGAGTTGTTTAAAAGTACTTTTATGGATATTATAATGGAAACTAACAGGCTTTACCAAGGATTACAGTCTTTCTTTAACAAATCAACCTCAACATAAATTCAAGCGCTTTTAATGACCCATGTCTCCAGTCAAAAGCTTTGATATTTCCACCTCATATTGACCCCCTCACATGCTCGCTGTGTGTGGATCTGATCCCAGCAGGAGGGGCCTGAAGTGAGACGTGTGACTGTGTGTGAGAGTGGATATTCTCGCAGATTAAGCCATCACGGCTCCCTCCATCTCCCTCATCACAGCAGATTGGTCCAAACGAGCTCCCATTAGCCTGCAAGTCTCTTTAATCTCAGATCCTCCGGGGTCCTCGCCGCCCGGCAGCCGTCCCCCTGCCCGTCTTTATTCCCCTCTAATGGAGCTCTGATATCAAACACTCATGGCGCTCTAACCATCTTATCAAATAAGGTTATCTGAATCCCAGAGGGCAGAGAGAGATGTCTTTGAAAGAGAACATGTGGAGATCACAGCAGCAGGGGATCATGAGATGTTTGCTCCAAGAGAAGATTTTTTTTCTTAGAGAAAATATGTTGGGGCAGAGATGCTTTTAAATTAAGGTACATAATGTCATCCTATATTCTTAAATGTTCTTATGTGCAAGTTTTTATCTTATATGTTTAAGTATGGTTTCTTAATGTTTAAGTGTGGAGAGCTGAACGTACAGTAATCATTTCCTTTTAGTACTTCTTATAACACACTATATTACGAGAAATGTAATGTGCATTAAGTCGCGATAATAAAAACAACAATTTAATATATTCATTTGACTTCAATTTGGATAATTCAGATAATTCAGAATCATATAAAGTTGATCTGAGGATATCAAGGATGTTATATAAGGGTAGGGCTGCACAATCTGGTGCGAAAAAGTCCCATTGTGATTTTGGTGGAAAGTACTGCGATATGCGATTGCAATATAATAAAGAAATGGACAGACTACTGATCAATTTAATACAGTATGTGTATTCCTCAAGAAATACAGACAAACTAAAAACGTATCCTAATAAATGCAAAAGCTAAAACATTTTTTGTGATTCGTGTAATCGTGCAGCCTTATATAGAACCACTTTGAAACAATTACAAAAGTCTGAAAGAACCTGAATTTTCTGCAAATCATTTCAAATTGTGTTTTTCTTTAAAGGTCCCATGTCATGCTTTTCTGGTTGTTACCCGTCCCCTTGTGTTATGAAAGTTGTTCTGCATGTAAACGGTCTGCAGAGTCACAAACCCTCAAAGTACACCCTGTAGCGAGTAAAACTCTAACACAGAGAAGACCTGTCTGTGCTGCCCCAGAACGCCTCGTTGGAGATTTCTCTTTTTGCATTGTTCTTGGGTATAGTGACGTATTTTGTGACCAATCCGCGGACTTCCTCACACACACACACTTGGCGGGACGTTGCGAGGCTCGCTGCTGCGAGTGAGCTGGCTCACTGGTGTGGGGTCGGCGAGACAGCGAGACACCGCGGAACTCAGCCTGGGCACACACACAAACTCCCAGCCAGGCTGCGGGTGTGGGTGTGTGTTCGGGCTGGGTTTTGCTGTGTCTCGCTGTCTCGCAGACGGCCACTGGGCTCACAGGGAGGGGGGGGGGCAGGAGCTCCAACAAGCCGTTTAGGACAGAGAGTGAATACACACACTAGACAGAGATGCTGTGAGAAACCAATGTGAGTTTGGAACATTGATCAATGTAAATCTATTCTAGTCGACCTCAACAATGGAATTATGATCAGTAGAAATGGGCATGTCATGGGACCTTTAAACTTGTTCACAGAGAGTGTAGGTGCCATAATGCTACTTAGCCCAAGTTCATTATTTGTATCATTATTATTATTTGTTTACGTGACTTTTATTTGTTTGTTGAGCTCTTCCGGTAATTGTCACATTACATTGCATTTAGCTGACGCTTTTATCCAAAGCGACTTACAATAAGTGCATTCGACCAAGAAGATACAAACTTGAAGAAAACAGAATCATATAAGTACATCAGGTTTCATAGAGCCAAACATTTCAAGTGCTACTCAACTGGCTTTAGATAAGCCAGTCCTTTATTAGTATATAAGTGCTTTGTTAATAGTTCTATCGCTCGAAGTGGAGTTGAAAGAGATGAGTTTTCAGTCTGCGCCGGAAGATGTGTAAGCTATCTGCTGTCCTGATGTCAATGGGGAGCTCATTCCACCATTTTGGAGCCAGGATAGCAAACCCACGTGTTTTAGCTGATGGGAACTTGGGTCCCCCTCGCAGTGCTGGTGCGGCGTGCCGTTTGGCCGATGCAGAGCGGAGTGCACGTGCTGGGGTGTACGGTTTAACCATGTCCTGGATGTAGGAAGGGCCAGATCCATTCGCAGCATGGTACGCAAGTACCAGTGTCTTGAAGTGGATTCTAGCAGTTACTGGAAGCCAGTGAAGGGAGCGGAGGAGCGGAGTGGTGTGGGAGAATTTAGGAAGGTTGAAGACCAGACGAGTCGCTGCACATGGGTGTGGGTTGTGTATATAAGTCGCCTGTTTCATGTCGAGTGCGGATGACAGTGTGAGCTTGTGCTGTCATTTTTTCTGTTGACCGTTTTGTCCGTAGTTACTGCATTTTGATTTTGCTTATTACATTTTGTAAAACTATCTTGCTTCAGCATGGACTTTCTCTTTGTAAACGCGTCGCAGCTTATAGCCAAGCTTAGCCTCTCGGTGACTCAAACTGAACTGGAAATTGAGCCGCCACAGAGAGCATAGATTACACTGATCTGTGTGTGAGCTACTGACCATGCCATACCCAGATAATGAGGTGTTTGGCAGACTGTATCCCCCTCCTGTATGTTATGGCAGGTGGATGAAGTTGGAGGAGTGTGAGACAGAAAGAGAGCAGAGCCAGGACGCACATAATTATGATGGATGATGATGACGATGATGATGACGACCGGTGCAGGTAGGATTATTGTTTTGGAAACAGTCCACTGTTGGGTTAAACACTAATGGATTGCTTCTGCTAAATAGGTACCAAATACACCTACATATATGCAGTGTGTAAGTATTTTTTTTATCGTCTTGGCTCTGTACTCAAGCACTTGAAATCAAACAGTAACTACATAGTTTAAGTGGCAATTACAAAGGGGGACAAAGGAACATGTATATTATTCTGGAGGCTATATAATGTGATGGATGTCTCCGTGCAAAAGGACAGCACTTAACAATAACTACTTTAAGATGGTAGGAGTAAGAAAGGCCTCTCATAGAAGTGTTAATGTTAAAGGTAGGATATGGAGCATTTATGTATATGGATCTATTCAAAAGTAATGCCTGTCAATCATATATTATGACGCAAGAATAAAGGATATGCATACCCACAGTCAGAGACTCTCTCTTTGAAGTTATTTGTTCAACTTCTAATGTCACGATCTGTCAGTGTTTCCTGTTTTTGTTTGAGATGTAGTCATCCCGTCTTTTGTCTGTTTCTTCCTCTCTCTGTGTTTTCCCACCTGTTTGATAATCACATCCTTTCCACTCGTGTTTTCCCTGCGCTCTCTAGCTGTGTCTTATCCTTACGATTGGTTCTGCATGTATTTAGGTTCTGGTTTTCTGTCACTGTTTGTCAGATCCTTCATACAATAGTACTGTTCGTTTTGCCTTGCCCTGATCTCAGTGGATTACCTGCCATTAAAAGGTATTGTTTCTGCAAACGATTCAACGTCCTGCATTTGCTCTACTCTCACCTGACATCCAATCCCTTATAAATAAGGAAGTAAAGCAAGACAAATCCTACACCACCTCTGGCTGGCAGGGAACTCACTGATACATAGCTTTTCTTTGGATAACTCCAATATTTAATTCAACACACTTAATGTAAATAATATCCTGCTTTATGTTGTGTCCAAAGCCCTTTAATAGTGTTTTATTGTCACAGTTTATAGATTATTTATCTCCACAGTCTACTGTATATTTTGAACTTTTGTAATGCTGTTTTAATTCTATTTTGAGATGCTTAAAGGTGGGGTAGGTAATGTTGGAGAAACCAGCTCGAGTGCGCTAGAATTAGAAAATACACAGCCGGAAAAAATCTGCCACTTCCTTACAGAGCCCCTCCTCCAACACACACGAACGCGCACATGACCAATGAGGGCACGAGATAAGTTTGTGCCCAGATGGAAGGCTGACAGGCAGGTAGGCCATCCAGTTACTTTAGCCGGGCCGGCTCAGATGATTGGTTGTGCTTTTTACAGCGCTACGGCTTCCACAGATGACATTTTGTTATGGATTTATTGTCAAAGCATTTAAGATATTCATTGCTATCGGGACGTTAAGAGCATTCCATGGAATATAACAAAAAGTGTTTCTGAAGTGAATTACCTACCCCACCTTTAATTTCTAGTATTTTGTATTTCTATTCTTTAATTTCTACTTATGTTTAATGCCTTGTTTTAGTTTTTATGCTGCTGCAACGCAAACATGTCCCAATTTGGTATCAATAAAGTACCTCTTATCTTATCATCAGATGAAAGTGTGAACACTCTCTACAGATAGATATACTTACTATAGATAATTGGCTTAAAATTGTTAGGGATATTCAAGAGATGGAAAGATTGACCTTCCTGCTAAGATTGGAACAAATATTTGTACTTAGCCAGATGGAAAAAATGGTTGGTGTATCTGCTGGAATAGGACTGGAGGTCGTTGATGTGACCTCCCATCCTCTCATAATTTCACCTCCATACGAGGAGCTGTTTACTCTGACGACATCAATTCAAATGTTGGTGTGCTAAACGAGAACCCACTCTTATTTATTTATTTTAGAATTGTCTCTCTATCCCTGAATACATTGTACATTTTTTTTTGTCTATGTTTTGTAATGAAAAAAGTCTTAAATAAAAACTATGTGTCAAAAAAGTGTGAACACTCTCCTGTATTTGGCAACCAGAGACTGACCCCTGATCTGCCCACTGAGATGGATTCGCTCTCTGAGTCGTTCTGCCGGCTGCTCTAACTACAGGTAGAGTAAAGTAAAGTCACCTTGACAGTGAGGCTGCTGCGGACCTACCTGCGGTGGAGGGGAGGTGAGTGAATGATAGACAGGTGAGATTGAACCAGGTGGAGGACAGAGAGGCTCCTGCCAGCATCAGCACCAGGATCAGCTTCAGCATCCCCCGAATGGAGTCTGCAAACCTGAAAACGAGGAATATCAATTTATAAACAGACAGCTATAAGACGGCAAAATAAACGTCTTTTTAGATGAGCATTTCAATCCCGACACCCACTTTTAAAGGTCACCTATTATACTGTTTTTCATCAATATATCACAGGTCTCAGATATATCCAGAGCCTGTCTCCGATTGGCTGAAACACCAATCAGATCATTGCAGCATTACCCATAATCCCCTCTGTTTCAGCCCTGTTTCCAAAGTGCTGATTCGCTGTCTGTTACTTTAGATCAGGGGTTCTCAAAGTTTTGATGAGTGAGGGCTAATTTAGGTACCCAATATTGGATGGAGGGCCGCCCAAGAAAAAACGGAACACAAAATAATTCCAAAACAAATCCTTTCTTTATTGTACTAACCAATTATACATACAGTATACATTAAGATTAATCAAACATTAATTTGTCTCAAAAGTGCCTTGCAAACACACACACACAGAGAGAGAGAGAGAGAGTATTGTGCTGGAGTGAGTGATATGCTGTGGATTTCCTGTCTAATGTGATTGGTATCATAATGGCGTTTGATGTTATACTCCTTGAGCATTACATTCATCTGCTTGCAGATGAGGCATATCACTTTATCCGACCCCTGAGGTAAAACGAAGTAAGCGTTGCTCTATTTCTCCTGGAACTTCCTTTTCTCCTCACTGTACACAACGAAAACTTCCAACAACTTTTGTTGCGAAGGACTGATGGTTTGGGCCACGGGCTGTTCACGTGAACACAATGCCGCCTTTGGGACATGCTTCCAGTGCGGACTTTTGTGTGCGTTCATATACTTAACCACACACGCAAACACGCACACGCAAATAACCACAATCACACACACGCCTTTTTACATACCTATGTATAGGCTACAAACAAACACACATACATTTTGTGTACATATCTTGCCATTCACCTCCTATTTACAATAAACATCATTTGGAGTATACATCTTCTCTGGCATTGTAATCAGATGCAAAGCGGCTTCTCATATAATTTCTTACCAGTCAACTAGTGACTCATCCAAAACAACTTTCGACTTTTGATCTAGCAAAAATGACAGTGTAGCATTTCCCTCCGAATAATGGTCGTAGGCTTTACTTTACTGATGAATCAGAATTTATTTGTAACTCCAGACCCAACGTAAGAGCTTGTGGCCTCTTCTGCCGTTACAAAGAAGACACTACTTTATCCGTCAAGTTGTCTCCAATGCCACCACAACTTCCTGTCAAACACGTTATCTCGCCTTCAAAATAAAAGCATGCAAACGAAACAGGAAGTTAACCTAAATTACTAGATACGAACCATGGAGGATTAAAATATAACGCATGCATTTCAGCGTGTCACATTAACTATCGCGGGCCGCCAGAAACATTTCCCAGGGCCGCCATTGGCCCGCGGGCCGCACTTTGAGAACCCCTGCTTTAGATGAAAATAAGGAGCCCCTCCCCACGCCCCTCTGAGAGACGTTTGGTTACAAAGAACTCAATGGTGCTCTAGGAGGAGATTCAGGTGATAAGAGGGGGGGAGGGGGGGTTACCTTGGACACATGTTGATGTAGAAGAGACATGAAGAAGAGGGGACACATGTTGATGTAGAAGAGACATGAAGAAGAGGGGACACATGTTGATGTAGAAGAGACATGAAGAAGAGGGGACACATGTTGATGAAGAAGAGACATGAAGAAGAGGGGACACATGTTGATGTAGAAGAGACATGAAGAAGAGGGGACACATGTTGATGTAGAAGAGACATGGAGAAGAGGGGACACATGTTGATGTAGAAGAGACATGAAGAAGAGGGGACACATGTTGATGTAGAAGAGACATGAAGAAGAGGGGACACATGTTGATGTAGAAGAGACATGAAGAAGAGGGGACACATGTTGATGTAGAAGAGACATGAAGAAGAGGATTTTCCATAATAGGTGACCTTTAATGTAATGTGACGTGTGCCTTGTTGTTAAAGCACTTTGAGCTGCACCTGGTGTATTGAAAGTGCTTTACAAATAAAAGCTTTATTATCATAATGATAAAGAAATAAAACACAACATATTGAAGATACTGATCCTGAAACACAAAGTGAGACGAGCCAGCAGCTTCAGAAACAAAAGGCGTCTCCTCATTTCTAAACGTCTGCTTTCTCTGTGTCCTAATCTGTTACTGGAGACATGCATTGTTTTGCAGAAAAGCCAGATCATTCCCTGACTCCCACTTGTTCCTGGATGCCTCAGTTGTACTTGTCATCACACGAGCAGGGACACTTCTCCGACTGTTGATTTAATTAGTTTCAGCAGCTAAGCAGGCAGGCCTTGAGAGGCACATTGTAAGATATCGTTGAAGACAAGCCACTGGGCCATTCCCAAACTGTCTCTTTGGAGCACTGCGGTTTCTCTTTGTAGCCTTTCCTAAACCTTCAGAGTTCATTAACTCCTCTCTGCTCCTCTGGGTATGCATAGGTACGCTCGTGAAAGATTAGATGAAGCTACACACGCCCCAAAGCAAAAGGAAGACACTAATTACTTTTGTTTTGTTGCTCTCAGACAAGATGCTTGAGAAAGAGAAGGCTGAACTCGACAATTAACTTGAATAAGAAACAAGTGTTGGAAATGGCTTATTAGTTCAGCTAGGTGATGAAAGGTTTGTCAGCATGCTGAGGGCCAGGGGAGGAGGGAAATCATCCTGTGGACGGATAAGGAGAACTTCTCCACTCAGACATTCCACGTTCGCATTTTAAGAAAACATCAATGTCTTCTGGGGTTCAATGGGCCGCCATTTTCTACCTGGGCCGCCATTTTCTACCTGAGCCGCCATTTTCTACCTGAGCCGCCATTTTCTACCATCTACAGGTAACAGAGGATAACATGAGGTATATCGATGTCGGCATAATTCTGTTTTTAAGAACAAGCTGGTTGTAGGGTTAGACAATACTGCTAAGATCTTTCATCCCTGTAAAGGTGATAATATAATCTCCATTACAATATGTATCTTGATATAAGCATGTCTTCATGAATGAACTTTATAGAAATTCTGTATGAGATCACATTGTTTGTGTTTACACCTGCGTGACTAAAAGAGGACTGGCTATTATGCCAGGGGTGTCCACACTTTTTTCACCGAGGACCACATACAGAAACATATATAAAGGGTGGGGTATACTGCCTCATATGCTAAGTTATAAGTTAGCAAAATCAATCAAATGAAGGTAAATTAAGCTTGATACTTGAAAATGCTGTAAGAAACACAACAGCCTACATCACAGCTCTCCAGAGGGTTTACTTTATTGAGTTTGCAGCTCTTAAAACAGAAGCTTCAGATTGATTATAAAAATATTTGAACTAAGATTAGTTTGAAAATGTTTCCACACATGAATACTGTGATACATATGTGTACATAAATATTAAATTAGTACAATATATGACAAGCACAAGTTTAATTTGTGGGCCATATTTCATTATACTATTTGAATTAGCTGAGGGCCGATTCAAAATGAGCTGCGGGCCGCATTTGGCCCCCGTGCCGTAGTTTGGACACCCCTGTATTATGCTTTTGGGGGTTTTCCCTTTCCTGTAGTGTGTTATATAGGTTTTGGTGCATGTAAATGGTCTGTGAAGTCTAAAATCCAAAAGTTTGTCTCCCACACATTCTTTTTGAACATTAAAGCATGCGGACATGTCACAGTAGAGTCACAAGATACTAATATGAGCCAGAAAATGAGCAAAATATGTAATCTTTAAGACATTTTTAACAAGTTCAGGTTTAGTTGTTATTCTCAGTTTAGAACTTATAACTGTGTATCACGATATCCATTGAAAGACGATAAATTATCATGTAGATTTATCTCCCTGCAGTCGCCGTTTGCACAGGAAAAGGCAGTGTAGTCAGATGGCTAAATGTTTGCACACAGAGATGTCTGGTTCCTCTGCCCACAGCTACACCCCTAAAATCTGCATCGCCCATCTGCCGCGGACTGGCTCAACTCTCCGTCCTCCTTTGATGCCAGAGAGGGAGGACACCCTGAACCCAGCCAAACCCTCATCACTCTGCAGAGAATCACACACAACCCCCCCCCCGTATCAATCCCGATCTGAGACTCTGAGCAGGAGAAACAAAAGTAGCTTATTTTCTAAACTAAAACGAGTCCATTTGATCCAGAGTTTTGTTACTGATCGGCAAGATGAGTCAGATGCATGACATGTTTAAATCGGCTGGCTTACAGTAGACGAATAGCAATTTAAATATACTATCATCAATATTTTTCTAAATGTGTACAAACTAAACATGTAAGGTAAGGACAGCAATATGCTGACTATTACTTATTGTCGACATAAAAAAGAACAATCAGGGCAACTAACAAGTTATACCTGTGTAATCAAAGCATTATAAACAGATCCCTATCCCACTATGCTAAAAATATTATAATAAAAACGGTTATTTAAAGGTGGGGTAGGTACTTTTTGAGAAACCAGCTCGAGTGCGCTAGAATTTGAAAATACACAGCCGGAAAAAATCTGCCACTTCCTCACAGAGCCCCTCCTCCAACACACACGAACACGCACATGACCAATGAGGGCACGAGATAAGTTTGTGCCCAGATGGAAGGCTGACAGGCAGGTAGGCCATCCAGTTACTTTAGCCGGCTCAGATGATTGGTCGTGCTTTTCACAGCGCCACGGCTTCCACTGATGATATTTTTTAATGGATTTTTTGTCAAAGCACTTCAGATATTCATTGCTATCAGGATGTTAAGAGCATTCCATGGAATATAACAACAAGTGTATCTCGAGCCGGTTTCTCAAACTTACCTACCCCACGTTTAACCCGGCTTTAGTAGTAAGTGTTAAAAACAACACACGTGTGCTTTAAAACCTTTCAAATATTCACGTCTTTTAATAGAAACAAAGGGGTTTGCCACAAACAGGGAAGGGATTTAAATAATGTGTTGTTGCCTTGTTGTTTCCATAGGATTTGGTCCCAATAAAAGA